TTTTTTTTTCGCGCGAGCGGCCATTGTTAGCGCGGGGAAAAATAATATATTTCGCGACAATAATGGATACAAACAGAAACTCGGCCTACTAGTCCGAAAACGAAGACAATGTTTCGACCTTTTCCCTTGGGCTAGAGTTCTTAAATGAGGCAGAAAAAGAGAAAAACAAAGGAAAAGGAGACTCGGCATCAGCGCCGTCACGATTCGCTTCAACTGATATTGTTGTCCGTTTTTCGCGTCGGATTTTGATGCACAATTCCACCGGCTATGTTCTAAAACAATTGGTTCATGCTTTCAGCTGTGCACTATCGAGTTATGGAGCTTGGTGACAGCATTTGGGAGAAAAGTGATCTCAGGTCGGTCTGTGAAATACATTATTGATAGTGACCTTGGTTTAAACGACAATCGATCTAAAATAGGTATTTTTCAACTCTTAATTAAGGATTACGGTGTGGTCTAGTTTATGCGGGGGAATCTTGAAAATATCAATGAAAGGCAAATGTTTTGATAAAAAAGGAACAAAAAAACAAGGTTGAATAGGAACTCGCGAATGCAAAACTGATGCGTTCTTGGGAAAAGGAACAAAAGCCAGAAATACTGCGCGTAGAAGTGCTCCATAGAACTCCTTTTGAAGATCTTAAATATTAGTTCAAGATTAAGCATTTAACTAACCTCTTAAAACAACAGCTATTTCCTCCTTCCTTTTTTCATCTTTCTTTTCTTTTTTTTTTCTTTTGCTTGTGGTAACCATAACATTTTGTAACTCAGCAATGGTGGCCAAGACAGTCCGCAAATTACAAAATTATACTAAACATTTGCACCCGCCCATGCTTAAAAGCGATTAAACCTTTCTTTTTTTATTTTTTTTGGCTTTTTTTTTTTGCCCAGTTCAGACCGACCATTCGTTTCGACTCAACAAAGAACAGACACAGGTTAAAAAAAAACTGCACTTAAACATATACCGTTAGGTTCACGTCGGTCATTTACCGTACTCAAGCTCAATCCAAACGATAACTAAAAGTAATAACAGCAACTGATGCATTGTTGCATTTTACTTACATTGCACGTCCAGTCTAATGCCACTTGAGGTATTATTTCCAAGGCTGTTTTCCGCTACACATAGGTTTTCTCCGCTGTCATTTCTACTCACATTAGTTACTGTTAAGTGCTTCTGGTCTGATGAAAATTTATTCTTGGAACTTCTAATGATAACCGATCAATCTTTGGTCCATAATACCGTTGGGGCTGGATTTCCAGTAGCATTACAGAACAGAGTCGCATTCCTTCCTTCTTCCGCCTTGACACTCTGAGAATATCCATTGACCTCGGGTATATCTGTGAGAACAAAGTTAAGTAAGATTATTATATTGTTGGTTGAATCGAGTAAAGAAATTATAACCGGCGCTGGGACTCAAAGGAATTTCATGCAAAGGAATACGAGTCTTTAAGGCGGTTTCAAGAATTCGTACCCTCCTCATGTAGATTACCGCTAGATCGGCTAACTAAGGTTCTTAGACAGAAAAACGTCGAACTTACACTGAACATCCACAAGAGAAGCATTTGAAGTATCTTCTCCGACGTCGTTTGTTGCAATACACACATATTTTCCACTGTCTCTCTTGGTCACATTTATTATGGTCAATTCTTTGTAGTATTTTGGACAGCTGGTCGTGGAATTGTTATATGAAAATCCATCTTTGGTCCATGAAATCGTCGGTTCTGGATTTCCTGTTGCGTTACAAGATAAAATGATGCGACTGCCTTCGGGTTTTGTGACAGCGCTTGGATGAACGGTGATCTGAGGAAGGTTTGTAAAATAGA